TTATGCATACTGTTATGCATAAGGAAGCCCCACCCTCCTCCCTCGATATCGTGGTGTATTTATAAGAAAAAAAATTGTACGCCGCAGCATTCTTTCTCATAACATAAAACATAATGTATCTTACAATCCAAGACGTGTCCAGGAAGGAAAGACAGATAATTAATTTCTCATTTTATCCGTAGAGCCGGCACTAGCACGAAGGAGACCGAATACACCACACCCTAAACGATGACGATGATTACAAGTCACATCTCCGAGAGAATATCAGGACACAAGACATTCTCGAACAATATACTTTCTTTTCGTATATACCTAATCAATTATATTCTCGTTATATCTCTCTTTGCCTTTTATTATATAATTTTTTACTGTATCGACTACGAATAAAAGATTGGATAAACGTTATTTACCCGTTATTTGATTCTCATGCAACTGCAGTCGAATGTGATACGATCTTTTACAATTGGTGTTCCGAGATTGTCTGCACGCGAACACAGAATACTCATGATGGTTAACTTGTATTCTGACAACCAACCAACATTCGGAGCACGCGTAAAAAAGTTGTCTCATTCACATGGCTTTGTTTTTACACGAAATTTTAGCTATCGCGTTCGTAAATAACAATTTGTATTAACACTATTCTTTTTTACATTCGATAATTTCAAGTACGAACATGCCTATCGTAAAAAGAATTGTAGATAAAAAACAATGAAAAGTTTTACAAGATCTCACTTGAGTAAGCGCTTAGAACTAACTGTTTTTTTATTATCGTATACTTTGCATTGACGCTTGGATTTATAGCTTCATATTAGTTTATTTATGAATTTTGACATCCCATGTGAGTATTTACACATCTAATATTTTCGTTTCTATTTGTTTACTTTTTACCTTTAACTTAATAAATGGTCTGCTTCTATGCATTTTTTCTGACTCTAATACTAAATTGTTTTCTTATTATCTTATCGTATACTTCGTTACTGACGTTTTGGATTTATAGCTTCATATTAGTTTATTTATGGAACTTTGACATCCCATGTGAGTACTTACGCATCTGGTTTTTTTGTCTTTATTCGTTTTCTACTTTCTATCCTTTAACTTACTAAATCGTCTAATTTTCTTGACTCCCGTTTCCGACCTATTAATCGTTCACTTCTACAATTTTTTCTGACTATTAAATTGTTTACTCCTGACAAACTAAATTATTCGCTTTTGACTTGTCAAAAACTGTAACTGGTTATTGTTTATAATAACTGTTGTCTGTACAAATATCGGTAAATAAAGAATTGAATAATATCTATGTGTGACAAACTAAACTACAGTTAGGTGTGAGAAATGTTTACGTGATCGTGTAACCAACGCCTGTTTTTACATGATAAATTTATTGTCACGTGTGTTTCAGCTTCAGCCCCCGACATTAAATATTAATATTAATATATACGATTAACAAATATCAGATAATAAAATTCTAAAATATAATTGCTAAAAGCAAACTAATGGATTAGGCATAATAAATACACATTAAGGTAGCCGATAAAATCGACCAACAACACAAGACACTTCTAGTTCAGTTAATTTATCAAAAACTAATAAATCTATTCCTTAGGAACAACCCTGATATTTAGGTTATGGCACATTGAGATTGTTTGAGTCCTTACTTTTAAAGGTGCTTGCATATCTATCAATTCGACATCAAACTTTCTGTAAAGAGCGGCTAATAACATTTTTAAATTGTGCATTGCAAGCTTTCTGCCTGGACAGATTCCCGGTCCTCCACCAAACATTAAAAAGGAATTTTTATATATCTCTCGAGACTCATAAAACCTTTCTGGGATAAACCTATCAGGATCTTTCCAATAACGAGGATTGTTGTTAATTCCACGGAAGTACATTACAAAGAGCGCTTTGGTCGGCCACACGTATCCTGCCAACCCGTTGGGTGGATTGACATATCTCGAGAGCATGCTAACCGTAGGTCTTATCCTTGACGTTTCTTTAACAATTGCTTCAGTGTATTTTAATTTTGAAACATCTTCTAATGTTATCGGTCTGTTTGGGTCATCTTTAAACACTGTTTCAATCTCTTTCAACAATTTTTCTTTGACTTCTGGATGGTGCATGATGTAATATAATGCGAAAGTAAAAGTATTTACGATCTGAAAATTTTTTGATAAATAATAGATATTAATAACAAATCAAATTAAAATAGTACATGGTTTTATACACTGTATTATTACTACTCACCGTATCTGTACCGCCAATAAACGCATCAAACAGGAGACCACGAATTTCGTCATCAGTCATTGGTCTTGCTAATGATGGATCAACGTTTTCTTGAGGATGAGGATCATATTTTGTATAAGCAATGATTGAAGATGTCAGCAAATCCATCTGTTCCGTGTTAAGTTTGCCATGCATGATTTCCTTTTCAATTTTTTTTCTTCTTTCTTTAATAATGTCCACCAGTTGTTTGTAAAACCGGTCACAAGTATTCAACAATCTGTCCACACGCGGTTTTATAAACGGCATGTTTCTTAAACCTTTTGGTACAAATACCATTTGATTGTCTGATATAAAGTCATGTATACACTCGACAAGTTCTTCGGTTCCGAGTATCTCTTCGGTGAGCGGTTCATTCTTTAGCTTCTGACAATAGTGTTTCATAATAGACATTTGCTTTCCAGTTGCCATCGTAGATATGAAATCCGCCGTAAAACGCCGCATCCAAACAGGGACATCGATAACGGTGTATTTCTCCCCTGGATGCTTCAAGTCGATCCAATGTTGTATCATTTCTTCAGACAGTCGGTTTCCAATGGTATTCGCTTTCTCGATTACACTCAATGGAATAAAAGCGCGTGAAAAAATGGGACGGTTGACTTTCCAATGGTTGTAATTATGATTCATTCCCAGTCCTTTCTTTTCGAGGTCAAATAAATCCAACAGACCGTTATTTGGGGTTCTCATCATATGCGACTTGTTATCCAGGAGAATATTGGCATATTCCGCGCGGGTAACAACGATTTGTCTATTGCCAGCAATATTCAATTCGTATATGCCATTGTGTCCGTATTTTTTATTTAATCTCCAAAACCAGTCGTCGACGTCTTCAATGAAAATCGCGAGACTACCAATCAATGGAAATGGGATTGGGCCAGGAAGTGGGCTAGGGCGGGTAAAGTGTTTATAATAGAAGTATATTACGTATATGCATACTAGAGATAACAACCCGGTAAGGATATTAGTAAATGTAATAATGCTGAGAATGTTATTAAATGCACCCATAATGTCAATGAGAATTTCTCGGACAAATAATTCTCGTTCAAAAATTATATAGTAGATATATATATATTCTGACCCATTTCCGAATTTGGCCCACCTTCCGAATTTAGTTCAAATTTGAAATGCGTCAACTCACTAAATCGTTGTATGACCAACATAGTACACAACAATAATATCAATGTACGAAAACAAATGTATTATGAATAGCAAATATGGGAAAGCATAATGGTAATGTTTGACAGGTGGCGCATCGGCATATGATTAATGCACATCATTCATTCAATCTGTGACAAAAAAGATATACTGTTGTATGTCGGTTTGGAATTTATGTCCATTCGGAATGGACATGTATGTGGATTGGAATAGTAAAGACAACCAGGTAACAACATTATAAAATCATTTATTGGCATTATGATATCAACCCTACTTGC